AAATAATATCTCTGACTTTTTAAAATATGCTTTCAGGACAGCATTCAGGACAGCTTTACTCATTTGATAGCTATTTGATATGTTTTTTCAATATTTTACTTTTCTGTTCACTCTGTAATTTGGAGGAAAATTATTTATGTAATTGTGGCGTGTGTGTGTGCGTGTGCAGATGTTTAACATTTCTAAATTCACACCAAGTCCCTATATTTGCCATCTTGTTTCCTGTTCCTAAACCATAAGTTAAAGCAAGCTGTTTTAAAGATAAGTTTTACTGAGAAGTTTTTGCTATGGCAGAGTTCAGCATAGGGAGAATCAAAAATGGCAAAATGATTTTAAATGCACAAATATTGTGATAAAGAAATCAAAGATTTTTTCCTTTAACTCTTATTCTTTCTAAGCAGAACCAAACTCTAGGATCAGCATCATTAGTCTCTACACTATCCCTCCAAGATCCAAGCACAGAGGGAAATGCATCCTTTTCCTATGAATTTACCTGCCCTGGACAAGGTGTAGGGATTAAATTAGTTTTTGGTCTCTCCTGGGCAAACATTATACTGTGCTTGTGTAGGGTTACCATATTTCCAGTTCCCAAAAAGAAGACACCGGTTGCACGTGAGGCAGGGAAGTATATGACTGTGAGGGGCAGTGATACGTTGGTGCCCTGCCCCTGCCCATTCCATTTCACACTCAATCCCAAGCCAAAGTCCCCCCACCCCACAGCCCTGCTCCTGTCCCTCACTTCTGACCCAGGGACCCCTGGCTCTGCCAGTGATGCTCACTCCTAACCCACAGCCCCCCATCTTTACTGGTGCCCCTCACTCCTGACTTGCAGCCCCTTGCCCTGCACTCTGGACCCACAGACCCCAGCTCCTCACTTCCAAGCCATAGCCCCCTGCTCCTTTCATCTCCTGGCTGCCATCCCCACCACCCCCCTCAAACTTTTTCCCACAGTGGGCTGCTGCCTACAACCCAGCCTTCTCCACAAGTTGCAGTCCCAGACCCCATGGTGATCAGATGCTGCTGCAAGAGGAATAGATAGAAAAAGGCAGGTGCTAGGATCCTGGGGGTGCTTTCTCTGCAGAGCCAGAGAAACTAAACTGAACTTGTTAGTTGCTAGGACCCTGGAGACATCTCCTCTGCAGCCTGGCAGCCTCGCAGTTCACTGCTTCACCTCCAGCACCTGGACAGCTTCTCCCAGCACCGGTGGGCACCCACCCCCATCACACAGCTGAGCTGACCAAAATTCTGGACATTTGACCATATTTAACCTCCCCACTTCCCCAGATGCAGATCGGAGGATCCAAAAAAAGACATGTTCAGGAAAACCCAGACGTATGGCAACCCTATGCATGTGTGATGGAAAGGATAAAGAAAAAATGTGTGTAAGATTCCACTGCCCTTACAACTACTACCTAGGGAAGATAACTTGAGTGGGGGTGTGCAACCTTTCTGACATAACATTTTTCACAGCAAAGAACCTAAGGAAGTTATTATGTTAAGATAGCAGGCAAGGCTGAGATGCCAGAGTTGGTGTACAGGTTGTTGGGACCTCTTTGTCTGTTATCAAGACTTTGGACTGAGATCTTGTTCCACAGAACAGGTGGGAAAAATTCTTTCCAGTCACATAAAGTAGAAATCCACCCATCCTCTGTTCCCTCCCAGGAGTATTAGAAGAGGACAACCTACTTCTGGTTTCAGTGGAACTAAAAACAGAGTAAATTACTATGGACCAAATGTAAGATACCATGACAAAGCAGGCACTACGTTTTGAAACAATAAAAAATAATCCAGATCAGTAGACTTACTTTCCATCAGGAATAGGCTCCTAAAATAATATTGTATCCAGCAAGTACAATGTTTTAAATTAATGTAGACATTTATTAGGTGAAATGTAACAGAAGGAGAGAGAACATATGGCTGATTCTGCTCCACCTTGCTCAGATTCCTAAAAAACTGTTAATACAAAATATATGTAGGTCTTCCTCTCCCTTACTGCTTTTTTGTAAACTTAAGGGTAAAATGATGCTGTATTACAAAACTGGGTGCATTAACAAATTTTTAGGGACTTGAGCAGGGTGGAATAGAATTGCACTTAGGCAGCCAAGTACACTCATGCACCTAATAGGAGGAACACAATACTGCCAAGCGTGTATGCCTCCTTGGTGCATATGCATTCAGAATGGGTTTTGAAGAGCTAATTATGGGAAATGATTTCATGTAAATGAGTTCTCAAGCTCATACTGGTGCTGTTTCTAGCATTTCATTTGTCTTCCTTACACGCAGTACTTTTAAAAAAATGTTCAATCAGATGAGCTTTAAGGATGAATCCAATGCGGCAAACATCTTGTATTATTACCTGGTGGTTAGAGGGCATGCAACTAGATAAGGTCCTTTTTTCACTTTTTATAAACATAACCAAACAAATCTGCCCTCTACAAGAAGCTGGAAAGACTTAAATGACAAGTCACAACAAAATGAGCACTGCATTCTAATAGATTGGTAATCTGCATTTTAAAAAGAAGTATGTAAAGTGTGGATGGATATACATGACAGACTCCAGCAGCTTGCAGGGGGCGGGGGAGACTCTCTCTGATAAACAAGTTGATAATTTACATTTTAATGTACCCTGAGTATATATTTACATTAGTAGCAGAAAATGTTGATTCTCTGGATCATGGTGCATGAATAAGGTCTAGTTAGGTGCCTGATGAATCTGCTTATACAAAGTCCTGAGACCATCACACCAAGACCTTTGACTCGTATGCCTAGGCAACAGTATGCAGGAGTGGAGGCTACCTATGACCTACCATCCCCACTTTAGACGACTGAAACAGAATCTCAATGCCAAATTTAGTCCAGACATTTAGTGCTTCCATGGTTGCAACTTCTGCCACAAAGCAGTAGGTAAGAATTGCTGCTTACTGCCTAATCCCTCAGCGAGGGTACATTTCTGTTAGGGTGATGCCACCTAGTCTTTCTCCAACTAAGGAGTACCCACAAGGCAGTGGGCCTAGGATTTTGAGACTCCCTACACTCTCATTACTTTGGAGTTTGCAATGTAGTATTTTATAGGAATTACCCCACCACACAGACCCGCCACATTACCACCAGGCTCTCCAGTCAAATGAAGTTTACAGTCATACTCAGGACTAATTTATATTAAATGCAATATAAAAAAACCCTAAATATAAACTAAAATATTTATATGGTAACCCTTAATGGTCCATGTTTCTCAAATACTTCTGTCTATAATAGGAGTCCTTTATTCTTCCCTTTCCTTCTAACAAAATATGTGCTGAAAAAAAGAAAAAAATATATATATATATGAAAACAAAAGGAATTCAGAGTTCCTGCTAAAACTTCATCTTCCCCTGATTTTGAAGTGCAAAGGTCTTGTAGGACTCCCACTCCCAGTTCAGTACACAAATACTGCATCTCTTATGAGCTGCAACAGTTAGAAACTGGACAATCTCATTCAGTGCTTTGAATATCTAATTTCTGTAGGGTTTTACCACAGCCTTAATGGTACTTAATCTTAAAAGAGATTTGCTTGTTTGCAATCTACATATTCTCCCCCAGATACATTATAATTAATCAAGTCTAAGATGTTTGCGACAAAATGTAACATAGTTCAAATATCAACTTCAATAACCTTCTATGGCAAATTATCTGCATAATAATTATGTAACTTTTAAAAGATACTCACAGGAGGTCCCTTTGGTCCTGGGAATCCAACAGGTCCTTGAGGCCCTTGTGGTCCCTAACATGAAGAAAAACCAAAAGGTAAAGTATCATTCCAGAGGCTGTCTCATCAGACCAAAGAGTTTACTTCAATTATGTTAGCTCATGAGTTTTATAGATAACATTTGGACACAAAGATAAAGCCAACTATGAATTTCACATACATATTGCTACCGGCAATTCAAATACACACAGGTTGATGGTATTTCCTGTATGACATACTGCATGACATGCAGTCCTTTATCACATCAAACACAGTTGCGCTTTGCCAAATGTTTGGACAATTTTTCCAACACCTAGCAATATCTGTTGAATGAGAAGAATTCTAATTTTGTAGCACTAAAAAACTATGGGTGCAGACAGAAGTGACAATTTTTCCTGGATCTGACCACAGAAAGCAATCTATAGCTGTGGCCAAACACAAGTGCATGGCTGCACACCACTTCAAAAATGGCTAATCTGGTGAAAATCTGAAACCTTATTGCATGAGGGTTCAGATGAAGATGTTTCAAATCAGTGTCTTCTGTAACTTCTGTCTGCACTGTCTCCTAGCCTGTCACTGTTTTCAGAATGGGAGAGGGGAAAGGGAGAGGAGGGAGTTCAGTCTAGAGTTTTTTCAGTCCTCCTGCTGGAGGGTGGGGTGAGTATATGGAAGGTTCCCTGAGGTGGGGTCACCAATTCACCCACCCTGCCCTCCAGTGCTGACTGGGAAACCCCTAGAATGAGCTAACTGTGCTCCTTTCCCCCACTCCCCTTCTGAAAACAGGGACAGGCTCTCAGGGATAAGGGGCTGTTGCTAGGGGAAACCAGGTGTACACTGGCTGCCAGCAGCTAGATCCCCACCCACCCCACCCAGAACCAACAGTGAACTTCTGTTTGGTCCAGGGGATTATTATAATTCAGAATGCTGGACTTCTGTCTGCACCCTACGCTTTTGAAAGAAAGTTAGCAACACAGAGGGCACATCTCCAAAAAAATGATACTTTGTTGCATACTTTTGGAAAGTTTGAAAAAATAAGACAAAGAACTAGCTTATATGATGGTCAATTTTAGAAGCGCTCACTAAAAAGTAACTACACCTTTTCCATTTGATCACTGCTGGGATTTGCTGTTAATATTCTGAATGGGACCCAGTCTCACAATTTTAAAGACCTTTACCTGTTAGAAGACATTCATAAGGTAATAAAGCATCTTTAAGAAAGCAAGCAGAGAATCCTTGTCTTATTCTGTGTGGCTACACAGCAAAAATGTGTATCCAAGTCATTCACTGGTCCTGTTCTACGTATCATGCTGCTGTATGGTTTTACTAGATCAGCTTCAAAATATGCTAGAAATTTCTGCTTAAAATGTCAAGTAAAAATCCTGCAGAGTCCACCATCTCCTGTGAATTATGACAGCTTTCTGCTCTTGTGGTAAGGCACTAACTGTCTTAGATTCCCTTTAAACCTCATTAATTACAACCTGAAACATAAGGAAATGCTGGCTTAAAGCCAAAAGTATGGCTCCCCCTTGCAGTAGAAAAGTGTTATGTGTCTCTGTGTAAGGAAAAAGGCTCTTTGTTTAGGAGCAGACAGAATTTGGTATTAACTGAATCCAGTTCCTGGACAGGATTTAATTACTATTTATTAGCAAATAAGACTCAACCATGTGGTTTGGTTACCCAGAAAATGTTCCACACCAGAGCTAATATACATTTTCCTTGATTCTGTAACACTATCCACATTTTCTAGTACATCTCCAAAGTCTCTTTATACACAGTTATCCATAGGTTGAACCTTCAAACCTCTCCCTCTTTAACTATACTCCATACTGCATATTACTTGATTCACTTTCCTGTATCATATTCAGAAACAGCAGAGGAGATTTTAGTTGCTTACAAATCAGAAGCTCTTAAAAGTGGGGCAGTGTAAGAAGAAAAATAGTAAACCTGGTTCACTTAAATAGGAAATTAATTGATCCCTCTCTGGTATTGGGTTAAAAGCAGAGAACTTGTTGTACTCGGCCTTGGTGAGGCTGCAGATAGAGTATTGCATCCAGTTTTGGGCTCCACAATTTAAAAAGGATGGGGGGAAGCTTGAGAGAGAGCAGAGGAGAGCCACATGCATGATCAAAGGTCACGAAAACAGACCTTATGGTGAGAGGCTGAGCCATGGAACTCTTCAGCCTGGAACAGTGCAGGCTCAGGGGTGATCTGGTGGCCAATTATACGTTTATCAGGGGTGCTCACCAGGATCTGGGGGAATGTCTGTTCGCCAGAGCACCCCAAGGGATGACAAGGTCAAACAGTCACAAACTCCTCCATGACTGTTTCAGGCTGGACATAAGGAAGAACTTCTTTACTGTCCAAGCCCCCAAGGTTTGGAATAGACTGCTGCCAGAGGTGGTTCAAGCACCTACTTTGAATGCCTTCAAGAGACAGTTGGATGTTTATCTTGCTGGGATCCTATGATCCCTGCTGACTTCCTGCCCCTGGGGTAGGGGGCTGGATTTGATAATCTTTTGAGGTCCCTTCCAGCCCTAATGACTATGAAGTCTATGAAATCTATGAACTCAAAGGCTAGTTGCCATTTCTTGCCCATAAATCCCTCCAATACTTTGATCCTCAAATACTGAGGTTTTCTAATGAAAAAAGTTTGCATTTTTTTAACTCCTAATATGGACTTCAGATTTCAAGTCGCTGGGCTTATGGTTCATATGAATAGGAACTACTTGAATACTACTATCTTGTTAAATTTACATTTCCTTTTTTGTCATTAGATTTTCTTTAAGTTATCCATAGAGGAAAGACAGTTAACACCTACCAGCTAGTAGTTGGAATATTAGTTTCATCTTTCCTCCCTCTTCATTCTGTGCCCCATTTTGGAGCGTACGGACACTCTGAATGAATGATCTATAAGGGTCACTCTCAGATGAAAGGGTACGCCTGTTACATTTCTCCTTTGGCTGTAACTAGTTAGTTCCTCTCATGGATGTCTCTTCTGCTGTGTCTCATATCCGTCTATCTTTCCCTTCTTTACTGTTCACTCCTCCTTGATTCAGTTCCTAGATCTTTGCTTACCAGCTCCATACAGAGGACTCTATAGCTCTTTGCCTGGCCTTATTCTTCCTCATACTCATACTCATCATCATTAAGTGTCCTGCTCCACTCATTACTCCCTCCATTGTGATCTCCAACTGTCTTTCATTCTAACTTCTAGATATTTCCCATTTCACTAACCTTTACACTCAGCTCTGGACCATGACCTGAAAACCAGTTCCTCCCTATTTCCTCCACTGCCTAGTATAATGTAGGGCAGGGGATGGGGCTTGAAGCCCTGAGTTGAGAGGGCACTTGGAGCCCTGAATGTGTAGAGACTGGGAGCCCTGGGCAATGGACTGAATGAGACCCCAGTGTTAGGGCACAGTGACTGAGAGCTTCAGTGGGGAGTGAGAGTCTCATGTGAGACTCTGGAGCGTGGTCCCAGTGTGAGGCACTGGCGTAACATGGATGCCATCTGTGAGGTATGGGACATGGTACAGGAGAGGTCAGAGCCATGTATATAAACCCTTGGCATCGGGGCAAGTAAATGGATAGCCTCCCACCTTATTGTCATCGTTAAAATCATCAAAGGTGTGGCAGGAAAAGTAGGCGGGCAGTTTGCCCTAAAGCAAGTGGGTGGGCCTACAGTTAGACTGGTCCAGGGACACTCACTTGTTACATATAGCCCTCCCTTTTGTACTGGCTCCCATCTATCATTCTAACCTTTGCCTTACCCCCCAGCTCCATCTTACTGCTTCCCCCTGTTCCAGTTATTCTCCTAGTTCATCAGCCACTCTGTTAAGCTTTTAGGTAAGCATCTACTCCAAGGAACTTCGATTTGAGTTACAAGACAGATAAAGACTCATTTAACAGAAACTGTTGTTCACATATATTTATTATTCATTTTTCTTTACATATTTAATGGTTTTCAACCAAAAAGTTTGCCATCCTTTTTTGAGAGAAGAAATTGGACATCTACCTTTCCTTTTGCATACAGTCATGCATATTTCATAATAGAAGTAGATGTTTCTTAGAAGCTGACACACACTGTCTGCAGTTAGTAGAGATGAGACAAACACAGACAGTGGAAAATTCCCTGTGGTTGTTTCAGTTCTTGCAGACACTTAGGCAGTGGAAATTCAAAATTTCTAAAAAGCAGCTTCTAAAAAAGCATTTCCACTTATTGCACATTCTCCTGATTTCAGATTTATCATATACTCTTGATCTGCAGCCCTCATCCCGGAAGCCATCCTTACCTACACTCACTTTTTATGGTAACTAAGACATTTATTTCAGGCACTGCTCTTACTAACTGTTCACACATTCCCAGGGAAGATTGTTTACTGTTGATCAGCAAATGTTATTAATCCAGACATCCCTCCCAAATAGTGTAGCAGATAAGATAGCCTTAAGCAAGATTCTACACTGCTTAAAAAAACAACGTCTTGAGCATGTCTACATGAGATACTGACTGCACAGTAGCCTGATACTACTGCGCAATAGCAGTAGTGTCACATGGCAAAAACCATGATGAAATGCTATCGTCACAAAAAAGGCATTTGTTGGCACTACTGCACAGTAACTCAGGTTACTGCCCATTTATTTAGTACCTGTTTATACAAGAACTAAATAATTGGGCAGTAACCCAAGCTACTTGTTTATACAAGTACTAAATAAATTTGCAGTAACCACTGTACAGTAGTCACATGTAGACACGGCCCTTGATCACCTTGGAATTCAAGATTCTGGAGGTCATAGGGAGAACAGAAAAGCTAGCTAATTGTGTTCCAACTCAGAATTTTGTCCCTATTCAATACAGCACTCAAACATATGTTTGATTTTAAGTATTTAATACATGCTTAAATGCCTAGCTGAAATGTATATGGCAAAGATTTTTTTCTTTTAAATTAAAAGGCAAACATTTAAGTGCTTCCTAAAGCAATATGGAAACAAGCCACCAGAATGTTCATTTGGAAATTGGGAAAGAAAGAAGTCATTTGGCTTAAGCCACTTTAAAATACCTCAAAGAGCATTTTCATTTAGCTGTTGGAATTATATTTCTTGTCCTGAAGTTAGAAACCAATTTTATAAATATTTTCCATATATGCTGTTGAACAAATCAACTTAGCATATTTCACTCTGTATTGAGTGTAAAGTAATAAGAAGCAACAAGTATACAGAAAATATGTTAAAGGGAATTCTTAACTAATTAGGATAAAAAAATAAGTTTCTAATGGAGAGGGAAGGGGTGAGTTCTTTTGAAAACCCATGAATCTACTGGAGCTGTGTTGAGGATGGTAACAGAGATCAAATCTCAAAATTATCAGGGATATAAAACCAAAAGTCCACACGGTTCTTTTAGCTTCTTGGGGATACAAAACTAAGAGCAAAAGAACAAGTTTCTAGCTTTGCAGGAAGGACAGCATTGTTAAGAAAACCTTTGTTGTGTCATAGTGTGGTGGCCCAAATGCTTCCAGTCTAAGTCAAAGAAATACAAAGCCATAAGAAAAATATTAAAACAAAAGAAAAGGGGGAAAAAAAAACAAACCTTCAAACATAAGTGGCTGGAAAGAATTATCTGAGGAACAGTTATCTAAGTGACATACCCTTTCGCCTGGTGGTCCTGGGGGGCCATCATTGCCTGCAGTGCCCTAGGAAATCAAAGAATAATTTTTTCAAAGGTAAATCTTACATTTTCCTTGTGAAAAAGCACGTGCAGCAAATCAGTTGATAGTGTCTTACAATTACCTTAGGGCCTGGTTTTCCAGTGGGACCTCTTGGGCCTCTTGAGCCTCGTGGACCCTATATATTTGACACAGCAAACAGCAAGAGTTTTCAGGTATGAGAGCACATGTGAGTTGCATCATTCTTCACAGGGCTGCAGAGGTGACAATTTATATGCAAATATCAGCATTCCTTTGAAAACACAACATAAAATACTTACTGTTGGTCCACGTTGTCCCCTCGGACCAGGCTTGCCATGTAAACCCTGCCAAAGAAAGCCCAAACTCATCATCATAATAGGATGAAGTGCTATTTTATCTTTTAACTATCCATTCTGCATTTTAATTGAAATAAACAGATTCTTACTAAAACCAATCATTTACCAATTTCTTAGGATATTTTCCTTTGTCTCCATGTTAAATTCTGCCTTAAGTACTAGACCATGCTAAGGAAGGTATGACGGACTAAGCCCAGGGCCGTCCCTGGAGGGCGGTGAATCGGGATGACCGCCCTGGGGCCCATGCTTTGGGGAGCCCCACGGAGGAAGGTGGAGCAGCTGCAGCGACTCCACGCTGCCACTGACTACACGTAAAGCCACTCAGCACCAACCCCACAAGCTGAAACCACCACCAAATCTGGCTCCTCTGGCCGCTCGCCATTCCCCTCCTTCCCACTGCTGAAACCACCACCGGCTTCCTTGCATCTGGGGGCGAGGCATCACACAGGATGATTTGCCCCAGGTCCCATACCCTGCTCAAGTCGCCTCTGAGGAGAATTCTGGAACAGCCAGAATTCCTCCTTAGAGCTCCCTGGGAACATGCCCACTGTGACAACCTTACTAACCCGGAGCTGCTCCACTGGCAAAGAGGAAAGGGCAGATGTCACCCCTTCAAAGTAGGGAGCAAGGACTATTATCCCTGCTTATAACGATCACATCATTTCCATCAGAAGCACAAAATTACACCAAAAATTGGATCTTCACTTGTAGTTCCAATATATCTTTCATAAATATAATACTATGGGAAACACTTTCCTTAAGCTAGGCTTTATACTAAATTTGCAGTGGATTTACATATGAAGAAGCTTTACATTCAAGAAATTGTTTCCCCCGATTGAAGAAGAAGGTTTGTAACTGCTATTTGTTAAAACCTAAATTGCAAACTAAAAAACAAACAGCAGCAGCAATGACAACCCAAAACTGCTGTCTTAGTATGACATTCTTTCTCATTTTAAAACAGTTAAATGCTTACTTCAATTGTTTTATTTATTCTTATCTCACAGCACTTTAAACAATGAAGATTTTACTACTATAGTACTACTGGGGCTGAAGGCTCTTAGAGACAAGGATTGTCTTTTCAGTATATGTGTGCATAGCATAATGCAGTCCTGACCTATGATTATGACCTTAAGACAATTCTACCATATACAACTGTTACATACAAAAGCTAACTAATTGTATTCCAATTTAGAAGTTTGTCCCTATTCAGTAAAGCACTCAAAAACTTTACTAACTTAAATGTGTTTAATACATGATTCAATGCCTAGCTGAACTGAAAGCTTTATGAACACCTGATGAATGTTTAACATTCTTAGATTTCATATTTTAAAGTCTTGCTTTGAAGTTACAGCTTCAACTTTATTAAGCTAACTTGCTGATTAGGAGAGTGTTTTAATGCTGCTTTATCCTAAAAGAATGGTTTGAACATTGTTCTCCATTCCTTGTGGCTGGTCACAATAATAATATGCTTTTGTGTCAGTGAAAACAATTTTAAAAAACCCCAGAAGCAAATGGAAAATTCAACTGCCTCTCATAAATGATATATTTAAAGTGGTAAATCTGCACTTGTGTTTTTATACTGCTAAATAAAATGGATTGGTAGTCACAGTAATGACATACATTACTTCAGTTTGGCTTAATGCCACACTGCGCTGTCATGACCTATGAATTCCAAGTCATCCTTTCATTTCTGATAATTTCATCAGTTTTCTAACAACCTGATCGGCTACATCCAGTTGAACTTTACACATAGCAGTGCAGTGATCTTTCTAGCCTACATCTCATTTTTACAGTAGTTGGAGACCCTGAAAAATAGATTTCCCCCCACCTGCTTCAAATAAACAAAGCAGCAAAAGCTGACATTTTGCATTTATTTGTTAATAAATATTTGCTCTTCATGCTGCTTGCTATATTTTATATTTTCAAAGCCCAGGTTATGACATGTTTTACTTTTAGTAAATCAATGCATAGAAAATTAAAGTTAAGTTCCCTGGAGTGTACACTACATCATAACTTGATAATCCACAGCTAAGGGAAAATAATCTTTGCCATTGGTTCATCCAGTCCACTCTTCTCTCTCTGATAATAGATGCTTCAAAAGAGACAAAATCTCTACCCGCCCCCCAAGTACAATTATGGAATAACCTACCAAAAAATCTTTCTGTGCAAGTTTTAGAGTAGTTGGGTTGATGCTTTGAAGTATGAGGAATCTTACAGATTTTGATAATATTTCATGTAGCTATAAAGTCTGTTTTATCTAAAGAAACACGTTTTGCTTGGTTCAGTTCTGTCACACTATGATATCATTTAGTGGTTAATAAAGCATTTAAATAGTTAATAAAGCATTAAAAAAGTCAGCATATCATACCCTTGCACCTTTCTCTCCATTGGCACCTGGGAATCCAGGGAAACCAGTGGATCCCTATATGGAAAGAGAATACAAATATTATAAAATATCTAAGGGAACACTACAGTACATTTGGTATTCATTCTGGATCTAGGACTGATTACTAAATTGATACACAATGTACATCTAGTTCAATGAAAATCTCTTTTAATGGTACCATCTCTGATTTATATCTATAAATTAACTTACCATGATGCCTCAAGTCCTGAATGCATTAAAAACATCAACATAAACAATAGATATTATATTTCATAATAATAAATAAGAAAGGGTTTAACAAAACTGCATTTTTTGTTGTTAATAGTAGGAAAGAAGCATCAATCATCGCTAGAAATAACTTCATCATCTCATAAGAAAGAAAAATGATCCATTCTCTGCTGCTTCACACCTTGTGTAATAACTTATACTTTTTTAACTTGAGTGCAATAAAGTTGTTAAAAAACACATCAAAATGTAATCATAGTAGTCACTTTGCACAGTAAGTGACCTTTCAGATTTCAAAGGGGTGGAGAATCAGGAAACAGATTTTTCTTTACACTGAAGATGATATTTCTGCTTCTCTAATTAAACAACAGCCTGAAACTGTTGGATTCCTTTTGGATCATTCACTACCATCAGTTGGTGATATTCCAAACTGGTTCATCAGCGTTTGGTATTTTATTTTTGTATCCAGGACCAAGGTCAAATGCTTTCCTGAGTTTGTTAGCCCATACACCTGGTATGTGTTTAATTCACAATGCTTTTTGGAGCCAATTTTACCTAAGAGAATGATGTGACTAGCATCCTGACTGGTTACCTTTAACTCCATAGCATGAATGGTCAGGGATCATTTACAGCAGAGTTGATTTAGGGAAGCCTCCAAAGTGGGACTGAAACTCAGATCTATTAATCTTCAACAAGATATGTTAACTACCTTTCCACTGTGTCCCATATTCCCAGCATTCCAGTTTGTAAATCTGATCTTATTTCAGGATGACAATGTATTATCTCATGCTGGTATATGAGAGTGGAAAATTGCTTGTTTCTATTCCTGTGTTCCAATCAAAATTGGGCCACTGGATACTCTTATGCAATTTATCTATGACATTTGCACACTGATTATACAAACTTGTACAAGGTGCAACTTAGATAATTAATTGTACACGGTGCAACTTAGATAATTGGTCATAGGTCGTTTTGGCTCTGACGGCAAAAATACTTTTTTTGTGTGTTTTAACAGATAACATTTAGTGAATATCAAGGGAATATTTGATATCCTTTTTCTATAACTGCAACCATTCCTTCCACCACCTCAATATGGTTACAGAGAGAAGAAATGACATGAATTAACATGTACAGCTGCTTTTAAGGATATTTCTACCCTTTCCTCTTTTGTGTTTTCCTCTGCTTTCCAAATAATCCTTTTCCTTTTTTTACTTCTGCCCTACAATTCTGGAGCATTTCGTTGTCAGCTGTTACCATGCCAGTTCATTATGGCCTGATAAAATTTACTTTCAAGATATTAAAATTAAAAGTCATGGGTATATTGGTGCATTCTGGCTGCAAAAGTATGAGACACATTCTGCTCAGTCTTCTTCCTGCGATAGCTCACCTTTGTGTGTATAACCAGTTACAATTTTTTAAAATCACCTTAGCAATATGTTAAAAGCAATCTAAAACACTGGTTTCCAGAATATAAGAATTACTACTTCTCTTTTCAGTTTTATTTAATATAATTTTCTGTCACTTCTTTTATAAGATTTTCAGGGTTCACTTTCAATAAATTTCATTTCCAACAAATCATTCCAGCTACCCACTAACTGGATTGTCTTTGGAGTCAGATAGCCCTAGAGGTGGTGCTTTTAATGAACAAAGCAAGAAGGAACTTTTTGTGTTTTAAATTATTTTCATTAGATGTGACTTCAGGGGATGTAAAATCTGAACAATGTCTAACTTTCTCTCAAGACCCAATATGCCCTTAAAATCTTTTATAATTACAAGGGAGAAAAATAGACACACTCATAAACTGTTCCAACATTGGCATCAGAGGCTTAGTTATAAATATTTCATATGTGCAGTACACTAAGAACTTCCTGCAATCAAGCTAATGAGGAAGGACTACACTGGAGAAAAAAATAAAGTTAAAATGATCTTATAAATGGCAGGAGTCTAAGAACTGTACAAAGTAGTAAAGTAATGAAAAGCAAAAAGTGACAGAAAATAATCACCATGAACAAGTAGTGAATATTGGGACAAGACTTCTTATTTTCTTTAAGCAACTATTCTGGCTTTCATGTGGTCTTTATGCTGACATTATTCCTAATGCTGATTTGAACTTGACTATAGGTGAAGACTATATATTATGAAGCCCAAAATAGCCCCCAGACACTTAATGCTTAGTAGCTGTTATTACCGGTTTTTTTAAATCTGCTTGCTTAAACTTCTTAGAATAGTGAACAGTGAATTTAGCTTGCAATCTAATCAGGTTTTAACATGGGGAAGATTTAATATAATGAAATTCCTGATGACTTCTGTATTGAGAAAAATCTGTCAATTTTCTTTGAAGTGTACATTTTATTCTTTTTGATTTGTTTTGTTTTGTTCTTAGAACTGAATAATGTAAAACCTCTTTCATCTTAAGACTTTTCAAAAGAGAGTTCTGATGTAAAGGAGAACAAAAAGAAAGACTCAAATCTCAGACATTTGGGTTAAAAGGCAAAAGAAAGGAAAGATCTGTTTATCAAGGTGAATATTCTTCATGAATACTTCCCTTAGACTGTAGAGTCTTTTTCATTAACAGAGCATTCAGTGAACAAATATTCTTCAGAGAGTTCACTTAGGTAAAATGAAAGGGCCAAAATGTAGGCCATAGATATAAAAAACACTTTACTTAGGCAGCCTGGAGGTATTATCAGTTAAAATCTGGAAGCTAAAACACATCCAAGAACTTAGACTAAAGCAAAGCTGAATATTTTACTGAGGGACCATTCAGTTCAGCTAAAAGGGCTCAGGGAATCCTTAACTATACTGTGTCACATCTGAGAAACAATTCAAAGATAGGATATCTGTGTTCAGCCTCTGTCTCTCTCCGCTCTCTTCTTCCACCCCCCTGTTCTCCTCCTCCTGCCCCCAGAAACGTTCTTGAATTTTTTTCTTTCTTATTCCTTATTAATTTTGAAAAGAAAAGCTTCTGAAATATATTTAATTTAATTAGCTTAGTCCAAGTTGGTTCTTTTCTCAAACCTATGCTAAAATAACCCTTTGTAGTATATATTTTACTGTTATTAAGTCCTCATAAAGAATTTAGATAACGGACCAGTTAATGTATATTTTTCAAATAACTTACTTACCTTTGGACCTTGTCTTCCTGGATAACCTGGCAATCCTGGAACACCAAGTTTACCCTGTAAAAAAATATAGTTTGAAGTAGTTTACTCATTGCTTTAGATATAATTGTTGTCTTCTACAACTTATATTATTTACTAGTTTATGAGTTTTATCACCCTGCCTCAAATATTCTGGCTTTGCTCCCAAAACCTCAATATCAAGGATAAAATCCTAATACTATTGAAGTAGATGGAGTTCTCTGGTGATTTCAGTGATGTCAAGGCATCATCCCAGGGTTCTTCCTAGACTTTAACCTACTGACATTGGAAACAGAGCATTAAGATACTGCACATCTTTTAACAGTGTTATCATGATAACATGGCCATCAGCGTTGTTTGGGGGGGAGGGGGCTGTTTTGTTTTGTTTTCTTCTTTTTTTATATATCACTGAAATAAAAGAAGATTGAAGAAGAAGGTTGGCCTTTCAAAGGCCTAAACCATAAGATGACATATCATTCCTCCATAATAATTCATAGGAATGAAACATAATGTTATACTCCAGCAATGATCTGGGATGCTGGAAAAGATGGGAGTTTCTACATGGAAACTAAAATTGTTTATTCCTGATGAAATAAAGACTTTTTTATGTAAATGTAAATGTATATAATTGTATTCAATGAGGCTTATGGATGCTTGCTGAGAGACGCTTTTAAAAGAAGAGATCATTTGTTTATAAAGATAATAAACACCTCCATTTTCTTGTGCAGGGACCGGGACTCCCCCACCACGATTCAAGACGGACTTGAGGGGAATGCCTCAAGACCTAAGGTTGAGGAGGACTGGGTTAGAGTGCTTCTGGAGGGGCTGGACGTGTTCAAATCAGCAGGTCCAGTTGCTCTCCATGCCAGGGTGTTGAGGGAGCTAGCAGGGGTTATTGCTGGGCCCTTGGCACGGCTTTACAAGCACTCGTGGTGCTCGGGCCAGGTGCCAGATGATTGGAAGATAGCCAATGTGGTCCCCATCTTTAAAAAAGGGAGGAGGGAGGACCTGGGCAACTATAGGCCCATCAGTCTTACCTCAATCCTGGGGTCTTTGAGAAGATCATCAAGGAGCACATCTGTGATGGGCCAGCATTGGGGATGATGCTCAAGGGCAACCAGCAGGGTTTCATTAGGGGCAGGTCATGTCAGACCAACCTGATTGCCTTTTACGATCAGGTCACAAAAGCATTGGATGCAGGTGTCACCGTGGGTGTAGTCTTTCTGGGCTTCAGCAAGGCCTTTGACACTGTTGACCACCCCATCCTCATTAAAAAACTAGGCGACTGTGGCATCGATGCCTGCACAGTCAGATGGACTGCTAATTGGCTGAAGGGTTGTACTCAGAGGGTGGTGGTGGATGGGTCATATTCGACCTGGGGAGAAGTAGGCAGCGGAGTCCCCCAGGGCTTGGTCCTTGGGCTCTCACTGTTCAATTTCTTTATCAGCAATTTGGACAATGGGGTGAAAAGCAACCTGCTCAAATTTGCTGATGATACCAAAGTTTGGGGTGAGGTGGGCACGTTAACAAGGAGGGAAAGACTGCAGAAAGACCTGGATAGGTTGCAGGGGTGGGCTAACAAAAACAGGATGCGTTTCAATACGGACAAGTGCAGGGTGCTGCACTTGGGCAGTAGTAACCGGCAGCACACTTATAAGATGGGAAACTCCCTTCTTGAGAGCATGGAGGCAGAAAGGGATCTTGGAGTCATCACTGACTCCAAGATGAACATGGGCCGACAATGCGAGGTCACGGTCGGCAGGGCTAACCGGACCTTATCGTGCATCCACAGCTGCATCTCAAGTAGGTCCAAGGAGGTGATCCTCCCCCTCTATGTGACACTGGTCAGGCCACAGCTGGAGAACTGTGTCCAGTCCTGGGCACCCCACTTCAAGCGGGATGTGGACAACATTGAGAGGGTCCCGAGGAGGGCCACCTGAATGACCCGGGGACAGCAGGGCAGACCCTACAATGAAAGGCTACAGGACCTGAACCTGTTCAGCCTTCACAAGAGAAGGCTGAGGGGGAACCTGGTGACCATCTATAAACTCACTAGGGGGGACCAGAAGATTTTGGGGGAAACCTTGTTTCCCCTAGCACCTCCCGGGATAACAAGAAATAACACCCACAAAGTTGTTGGAGAGTAGGTTTAGATTAGACATTCATAAGAACTACTTCACAGTCAGGGCAGCTAGGATCTGGAACCAACTTCCAAGGGAAGTGGGGCTGGCTCCTACCCTGGGGGTCTTTAAGAAGCAGCTTGATGCCTACCTGACTGGGGTCAATTGAGCCCAGTTTTCCTCCTGCCCCGGCAGGGGGTTGGACTTGAAGATCTACAAGGTCCCTTCTGACCCTACTTCTATGATTCTATGATAGTTGTCACACTACTAGTTAGATTTTAATGTCACATTAAATCTAGCTGCATGCAATAAATGATTTGAAAAGTTTCACAGAATAATTATTTTTATCAAACCCTGCTAAAGTCACTAAGACTGTTGCCACCACATTCAATTACAGTGGGTGTGTCTACATGAGACGCTACTACATAGTGGTTACTGTGCATTTATTTAGTACTTGTATTAGCATGCACTAAATAAGTTAACAGTAACTGGAGTTACTGCAAGGTAGTGCTGATGAATGCCTTTTGAGTGATGGCACTATGCAGTAGTCTAATAATAATACTGTGCAGTAGCTTATTAGCACTGTCTGTGTGGTGACACACTGCTGTTATTAGGCTACTGCACAATCAGTGTCTTACATAGATGCTCCCATTAAGACCAAACAACTGTATTTTGTTCTTTATCCAAACTCCTGTATACTTGCTTCTCATCCTTTCTTCAGTATCTGCAATATTTCATTATATGAGCAAATTCTACCACCTGGAAGAGGGTTCCAGTGAAATAGAACCATGTGAAAGCTGGAAAGACAGAAGGACCACCTTGGGAGTTGTTCAAATTATGCACCCTCTACATGCTATGAAGCTTCCAGTGCATGGCAGGAATGAGGCATGGGATAGTTTCTGTATCCCCCAACAGCTCTAGAGAAGTATACAGAGCTCATGTCAATTATTCGAGTCACTGGGCTGTAGCACCACCCTCAGAGGTCTTCTGCAGCCACTCCCTGCTATGAAGAGTAAGGATTTTCCCTTCATTCACTGAACACTAGGCAAGCCCCCGATACCCACTCTCATTACTCCCCCACCCCCAAACTAGTGTTTGATTTGGGATCTGCACCATATGGTATAATATCTATACAAATGGAATACAAAGTTCAGAGGCTTATTTAAACTAAGCTAACAGGATTGCCAACTCCAACAATTTTGCCAAAACTCTCCTGGTATCTGCTGCTTTCCTTAAAGTTTTGAAATCTCAGTCCCCAGAGTCATGAGATTCTGTGAGAACCTCAGATTTCAATAAATTCTTTCTAGACTTCGTAGCTCAGAATTACAACTCGAAAACTTGAAATACTGACAAGGCCCCAAAGCAAAAAGGAGATAAAATGTCCCAAATTTCATACTTCTTACACTATGAAGATTTTAATGTAACTTTAGAAAGCTGTGGATGGGCTATACTGCAAGTATCTTTGGACTGTGTAATCATCTAGAAATCTAATAAGAACAATATGCCTTCCAGCAAGAATCCTAAGATTTTCATATTTTTGCCAGGTCAGGTATATTGAGACTAGCTTGTCTTGGTACTGCATTTCAGTGCTATCAGAACTGGTTGAAGGCAGAAAATACAGGAAGATTCGAACATGCTATAGTAGAAACTTGGGGCATCTATACACAAGCAGTGAGGCTGCTCTGATGCACTGTAAGTACAGTATGTCACAAAGACTCAGTTAATCAAGTCTGCTGAAGCATGGTAATTACTGTGCCCTAGCAGACTCCAGTGTCATGTGTATCAGTGTCCCCTTGCTGAAAAATGGCGACGGGGGTGCTTTAACCAAAGCTTGTTCAACGAGCTTTAGTTAAAATTGCCCCATCGCCATTTTTCAGTGCGGGGATGATGATACATGTGATACTCTCGGCACTTTAATTACAGCAGCTCTTGGAGCTGCTGTAATTAAAGCATCTGTGCCCCCACTTTCAGAGCACGTGTATAAACGCCCTAATTTCCTATCCTGTTATAAAGGGATTGATTCACTGATCCTGTTACAACTGAATAAAAAGTGATATTCTGATCTCAACTATGCAGGAAAATAGCTCTGGACATCCTTTTTTTTTTTTTAAATGTTCTTGATTCATGACCTTGTTAGCAGCTGGCAAGATACTTTGCAACATATTTGGGAACATTAATTCCTAAATAGCTCCCAATAGTTAAGCAATGCTGAAATAAACCTCTTTTTGAAATGACTGAACTGACTTTTAGGATATGTTCTTTCATGACAGCTTATGAATGACTTCAGTATCAAGTCATAAACACAACCTCTTCTTGAACTTCTAGTACACCACATAAATAAATCTTTATGAACAGTAATGTTATATTTATGACAAGCAGCAGTTTATAATGAAACAGGACTTCCTTATAAAATATTCTCCTTTCTCTTTGTTCCTTTTTCCAAATCAAAGGAAAAATCAATTCAATTATTAATATAAAGGGTATTCACAGACCTATATATATTTAAATACTTTGCACACACAAATTAATTTCCATATTACATGTGCAGAATTGCAGAATAAATACTTTTAGCCCTATCTTAAAGAGGGAGAAACAGATAAAAAGGTGAAATTACTTCCTTAGATCATACTGAGGTTGAACCTGGATTAAAAAGTAGAGCTGCCTTTAATTTTTTTTCTAAGATGTCATGTTGTTACAATTGAGTAATTTGTTAAATTGTGTTGATTTGCCAAGTTTAATTTATGAGAAAGCATGTATGGGGGGAGGGGGAAGGGCAATTATTACTGTCAATAATTTTTGGACAAAATATTTGGATTTTTTTGCTCAAAATGAATTTTAATGTCTTATTTTTATTGAAATAAATAAGTAAAATCATGAACAAAATGTCTGTCAATTTTTTTTCCAGAATTTTTTTTCATGGTTCTATTTCCCATCCAAAATAAAAATTTGGTAAAATAAACATTTTTGAGACATTTTGACAGACCAATATTTTCCAATAGAAAATACCAAAAACAGCATTTTCAGCTTTATTGAGGATATTCTGACCAGCTCTAGTTTTGCTCAATTAAAAATTATATTTCCCCCCAGAATTTTCTTTCCTGAAGAATTCTGAACTGTTCAGATTTGTGTTCCAATTCAGAACGAGCCAAATTTGAAAATCTCAAAATCCTCCATGAAATAGGCTTACTATCTTTTGCGCAACTCTAAAATGCTGGCCTGACTTGTTTCTCTCAGCAGGCTCAGGATCTTCACCTTCCCTTTCAAGTTTCTACTTTATTATACCTTGTAAATATCATAGTCCTTGCTTTCTCCTCTGTTGAATGTCCCTCCTGCATTTTAGCAGCCCCTTTTCTCTCTTTTCCACAACTGCTTTCTTTTCATTCACTTATAGTTAAAACAACCTTCCTCTTCCCATTTGCCATACAGCAACATATTTCACCTCCTCCAGTTATTCTGCATAGTCTTTGAATGTCAACAGGCTCTCCAGCACTGCCACAGTCCAATTTTGTGTCCATTTATTTTCTTTGCTTCGTATTTTTTTCTTAAATAGAGTGCAATGTAAATCCCTAGGGACAGGAGTTTAGCTATATTATTTACCAGCAAAGCAATAGTACTGCATTGTAGTATACTGTAACACTTTTGTGTAGACTTACTAATAATCATTTCTAACATGTGTTTAGTGTAAATGCTCTAGTGGCTCACCTCAGCAGGTATACTAACTTCCTGCTCTTTGATAACTAAAGACATTTATTTAAAGAAGCTGATGGTCTTAGGTTCAAACCCTCTTAGGACACAAAGATTCCTTACATATGCTGACAACTACTGACCTTTTCACCAGCTGGACCAGCTGAACCTGCGTCTCCTGATGGACCTGCTCGACCTTTAGGACCTTCTGGGCCATCTTCTCCTCGTGGACCCAACTGACCTACTTCTCCCTAAAATTAATAACATGTAAATACCATATTTTCTTGCATAGAACTCACTCTGAAATAAGATACACATTATCTGTGAAAGGCAGAATAAACTAAAAAAAAACGTTCTTTGAAAATATTGGTGATAAGCAATAAGTAACTGAGTAACAGTTTTGGCAGCATGAGTCTCTGCTTTGGGGGAAGATAGAGGGAAAGA